CATAAATTATAAGCTGATCTTTGTGTAAAAGAACTTGTGCACGTGTATATACTATATATTGATAATTACACATGACGGATCATATAGCTACATAATATATATATATATATATAAAGATATATATCTATATATATATAAATTTAGAGAGAGAGATACATAAGCACATAATTTAAGAACATGGTATGTTAAAGGTTAGGCTAGGTATACATGACACATAATTACAACATCACTAATTGTGCGGTGAGCTGGACAATTTTCTTTGGGCTTTAACTTGGGTTATGCAAATATGCGTAAATTATAAGCTGATCTTTGTGTACAGAATTTGGCGTATCACAACTTATTCATATATTTGAATTAAATAACTATTTGCTTGGTGTTATTTTTTGATGTTCGACATGTAGATAACCGTAAATGTGAGTATTTTTTCTAACGTATGTAAAATGGTAACTAAAATCCTGCCCCGGCTCCGGTCGGTTTTTGAATTTCAAATCCGGCCAAGTCCGGCCCCGGCCGTATTTGAAAAACCTGAATCCGGTGCATCTCTAATATATATATATATATATATATATATATATATATATTATATATATATATATATATATATTCTATAAATTCTACCGAATATATATATATATATATTCTAAAAATTCTACCAAATATATATATCATATATATATATATACATATATATATATATATATATATTCTATAAATCCTACCGAATTTATAGAATATTGTATATTTAGTAGAATTCGGTAGAATTCGGTAGAATTTATAGAATATTGTAAAAATTATGGTCTATTACCAATATATATATATATATATATATATATATATATATATATTTTGTCATAATTATGAAATAATACTGACTAAAAATACTTCAGTTTTCAACGCAAAATTTATTCATTCGATAGGGGGCATGGTGCAAGTTAATTTACTCGATAGGTGACGACGATTTTTTTTTTTGGCAATTTAGATGACGTCATAAATTATTACAAATTATTTTAAAATTTAATTAGTAGTTTTTTTGATTAATTGGACATACCTTGGAAATTTTTATGTTTAAAAACACCCGAAACAAAATCTAATTTTGCTTTGATAAGGAAGGGTGTGGAAGTGGAGTGGAGACGGGGTTGACTAGTGAGGCAGCTTCGAATAATCGGTGCCTATTCTGGTCCCTAAGAGACTTAATTCGTGATTCTATGCTCATTGGCATAGTTTCAGAAACGTCTTAAGTTCTCGAAAGTGGATTTGGTACGAGACTCTATGCTCATTGGCATAGTTTCGCATGCGTACTAAAGTCACACGATTTGTTTCCAGTGTTGTTCTGACTCTTGTTGTTTTGTGTTGGTTGTGCGAAAGACGACCAGACTCGACGGCCCAGTGAAAACAGGCCAGGGTTTTGCGAAAGCCGACCGACCGACTGACAGACAGGCCCAGTGAAAACAGGCCCTTGGTCGTGCGAAAGCCGATCAGACTCGACGGCCCAGTGAAAACAGGCCAGGGTTGTGCGTAAGCCGACCGACTGACTGACAGGCCCAGTGAAAACAGGCCTTGGATTCTGTGAAAACGAATCCGCCTCCTTCTTTTGTTTTTCTTGTGCTATTTGTCGACCTAGGGTTCTTTGCTGGATTCTATACTCGTTGGTATAGTTTCACACGCAGTCTGCA